GTGTTGCCCATCTAAACGTGCCGCGCATGGGCATGCTGTAATGGATGAGGAAAGGCGACTCTGATGAAGGAGATGTGACTCGATCGGCAAGAGCAGGCCACGCGACCGTGTGCAAATCTAACTAGTTTCCTTTCGTCCAGCTGCCCGAACGGAAAACTGGTAAGACGACGGCGCGTTTCCGGTTGTGGGACGTTGCTTGGTTCCCCTGCGATCGCACGTGCAGATCGTCGCCCGTCCCCAGCGCAACAGCCAGATCTCGCAGCGCAGTACCCATCGGGCACAAGTCGGGTCTATTCGGTCGGCCGGCGGCGAGCAGTGGGTACGCGCGGTCGGCCGGGGGTGGCCGCCGCGCTCCGGCCTCGGGGCGCTGTCACCTGTTCTCGAGCAGCACCGCTCTCGTTGCAGGGTGCTGGGTGAAGCGGGCTATGGCCGCCGGCTCATGGGTCTGAAGAACTTCCGACAGCGCTACTTCTGCCTCACACGCGCAGCCTGACGTACGCGGCCCACAAGGGTGAGCAGCTGGCCGGGCCTCGGCCGTCTCTGGGAGGCGGACTGTGGGACGGCGGGCCGGGTCTCTACGGTCTCCGGGCGGCGGACTGTGGGACAGCTGGCCGGGCCTCGGCCTGTCTCCGGGCGGCGGACTGTGGGACAGCTGGCCGGGCCTCGGCTGTCTCGGGCGGCGGACTGTGGGACAGCTGGGGGCCTCGGCCGTCTCCGGGCGGCGGACTGTGGGACGGCGGGCCGGGTCTCTACCGTCTCCGGGCGGCGGACTGTGGGACAGCTGGCCGGGCCTCGGCTGTCTCCGGGCGGCGGACTGTGGGACAGCTGGCCGGGCCTCGGCTGTCCGGGCGGCGGACTGTGGGACAGCTGGCCGGGCCTCGGCTGTCTCGGGCGGCGGACTGTGGGACGGCGGGCCGGGCCTCGGCTGTCTGGGCGGCGGACTGTGGGACAGCTGGCCGGGCCTCGGCTGTCTCTGGGCGGCGGACTGTGGGACGGCGGGCCGGGTCTCTACCGTCTCCGGGCGGCGGACTGTGGGACTGCGGGCGAGGCGCTACGGCGGCCATCAGCCAGGGCTCAGCGAGCGTTGGAGGCGGCTGGAAATTTACACGCCGTTCACGTCATCACAAGGCTGTCAGGACATTGGTCAGCTGTTCTCGTTGTTACGCGTGCTTTTTGGGGCGTCGTTATGCATCATTTTTTTACTGACTTGAAATCTGACCTGCAGCACTTTTAAGGATTCAACCGAAGTTGATTGGACTATGTGACTTTTTTATTCTTAACATTCTCGGTTAGCAATCGCTGGCGGTCATCTATTCCTTTCGTAGCGAAAGGAACCCAGTGGTGTCCCCCTCCCCTATTTCGTTTTTTTTTTCAAACCGTTTTTCCTCACTTCAGCGGTAGCCAGGGCCGGGGCGCGGCGTCCTGGAGCGGGCGTTGGTCCGTCCCTCGCCGTGCGCCGGGTCATGGGACGGTTGTCTGGCCGGCGGCGGACGACGCCCAGTACCTCACAGCCGAGTGTCTGATTAGACCCGTCCCTGCCCCCAGGACAACGGCCCCTGCACGAGATCCCCGTGGAAACATCCGGACGGTGGAGCTGGTGGATGAGGCGCAGTTCAAGAGAAAGAAGAACATGTTCAAGCTGGTGCAGCCGGACAAGGATCTGTACATACAGGTGTGTGCAGTTTGTTTTCATCACACCCAGCTATAGATTATTTGGGTGCCAGAGTCCCGGGTTATTGCAAGCATTAGACACGTGGCATGTCCCACGCTTGCATTACCTAGTTGTTGTTTTTTGTTTTGTTATCGTGCAATGCATACGCAAAGACAGCAGTTGTACTTTTGCTTCTGCTACTGCTTCACACTGAGTTAATGAATCGAAGGCCAGCCCTGATTGTCTCTACAATTCACGGGCTACGCCTGGAGCCAATAACACAGCCCCGTGACAAGGTCTACCCGCCTGTCTAGCTCGCCGCGGTCAGCGGTGGCTGCCCCCCCCCCCCCCCCACACACACACAGACGTACACACAACACCACCTGATGCCGGCCGCTCCGCAGGCCAACAACTGCGTCGACCAGAAGGCCTGGGTGGACATCTTGTCCAAGGTGTGCGCGCACAACCAGGACAAGACGGACCAGTTCCACCCTGGCCAGTTCCGGGACCAATATCTGGACCTGGTGAGGGCGGGCCGGCGGGCCGGACAGAGACGGCCGCCGACGCGGCGGGGTCGCATGGTCGTGGACGTGCTCACTGGCTGGGGGGACCATGGCGGCGTGCCCTGTATTCTGGACGTTGTGATCGTGTTCGACTCGACGCGTCGTGTCCGACGTACGCACGGCACACGCGATGTTCTGGTTATACAGGCATGTTCGACTCCCCCATTCTAGTATGTCCGGGTACCTATGTATGGCAGGGATCTTGGGCTGAAGTGTTGATGCTGAGAGCGGCGGCCCGGCTGCGGCGGCAGACCGCCACGGCCGCGCGTGCGACGGCTGCCGGTCCCGCTGGCCTGGAGCCATCCCCGTGTGTCCTGTGGGCCGCGCCGCCGCCACCCGTGACCTGAACCTGACCTGACCGCGCCGTGTCCAGCTGCCGGACGCCGACCAAGAACGCCATCGGCTGCGCGCCGGTGACGGCCGATAAGCTGCACGCCGAGATCAAGCTGGCCGCCGACAGCGACCGCGAGATGGAGCGGGTGTACGCCCTGTTCGCCGCTAATCTTGACGAGCTCGGCAAGCTCAAGGGTCAGTATTGGCGCCGCTCTCGCCGCGTGATCCGTGCTGGTCCGGAGATTCTGAGTTTGACGCTCGGGGCAGTGCGGGTCGTATCATCTGGAGCGCCTGGCCACAGAGCCCGGGGTGTAGCAGAGCCTCAGCCGGCAGAGTTTGTCGTTTTCTGATAGCGAGACACTTAGCGTGATAGTGTCCCTACGTCACAAAGCCCCGCGCGAGAGACGCTGAGCGAGCTCACAGTCACAGTTGGTTGGATACTGGTGCCATTGAGCGTATCACGTGCGGGCCCAGTCGTGTGGGAAAGGTAATGTTACGCAACACGCGATGTCTTGCCGGCAGACGAGTACGCCTGTAAGGCCGTGTACTTGGGCGACCCCGACTACGAGATCCAGGACACGGAGGTGGGCTACAAGACCATCAACAGCATCGTGTCGGCGGTGATCTCGCTGGAGCAGGAGCACCGCGACCACAGCCGCAGCCTGGCACGGGGCATCCGCTACGGCTCCCGGTCAGTCAGCGCCAGTCGCTCTCTGGCGGGTGCCGAGCGCGCGCGCTCGCTCGGCGCGCGGTACCGGCGTATGAGCGCAGACCTGTGCACACGAGCCTGCGTAAATAGCATGCTGTCGTGATTCCGGGTACGGGCGGCTGAAGTCTGTCATCAAGGTTGAGATGGTTGTCAAGGTTGAGCTTGTCACGAAACATGCGACGAGTGTTAAGACCCAGGAGAATAGGCATGTGAAATGCAATAGGCAGATAAGAAAAGACCAGATGACTTCCCAGAGTAATGGAAGTGTGCTGTTATTAGCATTAGACATTCGACTTTGACCGTTTTACGTACTTTAATAATGAGCAAAGGTACATGAAATTATGAAGCATGTCAAAATAAGGTCTACCTAGCTGCTATTTCGATCTCAGCCCTTATGCATTAAAGTTCCAAAAATAGGTTTGCCGATTCAACCGACCGCATCGCGACCTCGTGCGTCGCCACTGGAGTGTGGTGACGGCCTTCTCTGCGCTGGCAGGATGGCCCCGATCGGTGACGACAACTACCTGCAGCTGCGGGCAGCGGCCCGCCTCCGACTCAGCGCCACACCAGCGTCGCTTCCGGGTCAGCGGCAGCCCCGGCTAGCGGCGGCGGCGCCGGCCGCCGTCGCCGCGCCGTCGCGCCGCGCGCCACCTAGTCAGCCGTCGGCCCAGCCGCAGGCCGGACCACCGCTCAACGACAAACAATACTCTGGCGGCCGGGCGCGCCGCCGCCGGGCCGGCGCAGCGGGCGGCGCGGCCGGGACCAGCTGGCCGCCGCCACCGCCCGGCTGCCCGGACCGCGTTTGTTTTGCATTTATTAGTGCGGTAAGCCTGCGGCCAAGCGACCGCCACAGGGCTGGCTGTTGGAACTGCGGAGATTGCCGGGCGCCGCCAGCGTCCAAGATCGCATTTTCTCTTTAAGCTCGTGAAGTGGATACCTCTTACTTATGTTTACGTAGTTGACAACGTTTAGTTACTTTCTAATACTCATGGACTGGATGAAACTTAGCTTGGAGTGACGAAAGGTTTTGATATGATCTTTGGTGTCTGCCGGCTTTTGTGCGTTGGTTGGTGATCGTTGTTTGTTGACAGTGAGCTCGTCGTGTCCGCCATAATTCGCTAGGGCCCATTCGCATGTGGCTAACTGCAGGAGTCGTGCATGGCGTCGTGGCATTTTGTTCCCAGTCTGATGTGGGCGACTGTAGTTTAGGCGTGGCGGCCCGCGAGCCCGCCGGCGGCGTCGGCGGCGCGCCGGCCGCCCGTGATCTCATGTCGGAGGTGTGGGCGGCGGCAGTGGCGCGCGCCACCGGCGCCCGGCCGCCCGCGCCCGCCCTGCCGTCAACCGGCGCTGTCCGCCGCCGCCAGCCGCCATCGGCCCGACGGTCCAGCTGGAAGTGCCGATCTGCCGCAGTGGCCGGCCCAATGCCCCTCCCCCCCCCCCTCAGCGCTGCCATATGTTTTGTGACGTTGTAACTGACCGGCACCGTTTGGAGTGCGCTCCCGAGGCGCGCCTCGCACCCGCTGAAAGCCTAGCCAAATTAGATTATTTATTGATTGTTACGGAGCGCGTGTGGACCGCTGTTACGTGGTTGAACCGAGGTCAGTGTCAGGAGCTCCGTAGCTTGAGAGCGCCCCCCCCCCCCCTCCATTGTAGCCCCACGTGTAGCCGGGATCGCGACCCCCGGTCCTCATAGTCCCCCTCCCCCATATCGTGTTCAGTAACACCGGTAACCCGCCGCTTATCGCATGTAATGCTAACGAGGCGCCCCACCGCACGCCGCGTCGTGCGGAAGGATAACAAGTCAGCCGCCAGCTAACGCTTGGCGCGGTCGCCGCCCAGCCGGCGCCGGACCCGCCCCAGGCAAACCCTGGTCCCGCCCGAGGCAGGCCCTGGACCCGCCCGAGGTAGACCCCGGACCCGCCCGAGGTAGGCTCTGGACACGCCGGAGGCAGGCCCAGGATCCGCCCGAAGTAGGCCTTGGATCTGCCCGAGGCAGGCCTTGGTCCCGCCCGAGGCAGGCCCTGGACCCGCCCGAGGTAGACCCTGGACCCGCCCGAGGCAGACCTTGGTCCCGCCCGAGGCAGGTCCTGGTCCCTTCCGGGGTAGGCTTTGGTCCCGCCCGAGGTAGGCCCTGGACCCGCCCGAGGTAGGGTAGGCCCTGGACCCGCCCGAGGTAGGCTTCGGTCTCGCCCGAGGGAGGCCCTGGACCCGCCAGAGGCAGGCCCTGGACCCGCCCGAGGTAGGCTTTGGTCCCGCCCGAGGGAGACCCTGGACCCGCCCGAGGCAGACCTTGGTCCCGCCCGAGGCAGACCTTGGCCCCGCCCGAGGCAGGTCCTGGTCCCTTCCGGGGTAGGCTTTGGTCTCGCCCGAGGTAGGCCCTGGACCCGCCAGAGGCAGGCCCTGGACCCGCCCGAGGTAGGCCCTGGACCCGCCCGAGGCAGACCTTGGCCCCGCCCGAGGCAGGTCCTGGTCCCTTCCGGGGTAGGCTTTGGTCCCGCCCGAGGTAGGCCCTGGACCCGCCCGAGGTAGGGTAGGCCCTGGACCCGCCCGAGGTCGGCTTTGGTCCCGCCCGAGGGTGGCCTTGGACCCGCCCGAGGCGGACCCTGGACCCGCCCGAGGTAGGCTTTGGTCCCGCCCGAGGGAGGCCTTGGACCCGCCCGAGGCAGGCGCTGGACCCGCCTGAGGCAGGCGCCGGACGCGTCGGCCCGTGCCACCGTATTTTAATACATTTGTAACAAAGCGCACCGGCCGTGTTTTTAAGCCTCGGGGAGACGGAGGAGTGCAGGCAGGACTGGGCGCTGCTGCAGCGCGGTCGTGGGTCGAGCTGGCGCGTGAGGGTCGCTCCGGGCCCACTGCGCTCAGTGAGTGCGAAATGGCCGGGCGGTGTGGGCTGGTGCCGCATGACAGACTGCGAGCAGGAATTTGTGCGTTGGCGCGCAGTCCGCGCCGGCCCCGGTGGGTTGTTCGCCTGGTTTTGCGTGGTGTGCGTGAGCCTTCCGTAATCTGACACATCTGAGGGATGTTGAAGCCAAGGACCGCACACCGGGCGGCGGGGAAGCCTCGCTCCCATTCTCTAGGAATGTACGCCTGTGGTGTTGCTTAAAAGGAAACGGTTTGAATGCGCACTTGTCTCCCCTTCCATTTCCGACCCGTGCTGGAATGCAGTGTCGGGCGCGCTTCTTCAGAGGTTTGAGGCACAATCTGTTGCGTTACGTATGATCTGGTCCAGAATGCTGTAAATCTCAGAAACACCTCTGAAACCGTCGTAGAAGAAACCCGATTGATATGTCGTTAATCTAAGGTAATCAAGGTTTGATCCATCTTCCTATTAATATCCGAGTGGAACATAATGGATAGGAAAATCATGGCGCTCTTCCAGGACAGATCGACTATGCTGAGCTCTCCGTGGTGCATCGAAAGCGGTGACCTCTACAGAGGTCACCAAACACCAGGAAGCAACAATGTGGTTTTGCAGTGACAGTGTGTGTGTGGGGGGGGGGGGAGGCTGAAGCGTAAAATGACTCAACCTAGCCCCATAATAAACAGACGAGCTCCTCCCGGATCTCGCCCATTTTCTTCCCAAGGATGAGATGTTGGAACCCAAGTCGGGAATAGCTTCAGCCCCCTCCCCCAGCTGAACGACAAGCTCCACACCCCCGACCAGGTGGATCTTCGACACTCCACTGTACACTCCACTTCATTCTACCATATGACGCTCGGCCGGTAAAGCGCACCGAAATTTGGAAACCACTCCACTTCCGCTGACACATTCACTTCCATCTTACATCTTAGTTTGGGGTGCAATTAGTCTAGCGGGCGACCCTAGACTGAAGTCAGGTCACGTGGCGGCCTCGTGCCGGTCTGCTTGAGCTGCACATGTCCAGGCAGCATATGACACATGTCCAGACAAGTCTTGTAGTATCATTGGTGTCATGGAATGACACAGTTTTGGATTTAATAGCACGACATGAGATAATCTGTATATGGCCCAGCACATTATTTCCCATTGCCTTCCACACGGTCTGGAATGTGCCCTACCGCCTTCAGCACGGTCTGGATGACCCCGGCCTCATTTCCTTCAAATCGCTACAGATGACCACACGAGATTACGTCGACCACTCCGCCTTTTTGCGGGCCATGGAAAGCTCCGGCCTTCGGAGGTCAACAAACCCTACACCACTATTCATCGCTGCCTGCGCCCATTTGTCCATTTCACGTCCGGCAAACAAGGTCATGGTCATGCACCACCTCTGCTGCTAACTGGGTCATATGGGTCAAGGTCATGCCAGAATCCACCTTAAGTTATTTTTGTTGGATCCATCCAGGCTTGCATCACAATGTTAAAGTGCAAGAGGCCAGGCGGCTGAACCAGACCCAAGGCCAGATTAGGTCACTCAATGACCTTGCATGAACACACATCATGGACACATCCAGATAGCATACTTCCAGTGAATGTCCTGGATGAGTCAAATAGTGTCATTGCTGTCATTGAGTAATGCATAATGCATAAATCTGGACAAAAGGAAGTGGTCTGCTTTGAAAGTTTTGAAATGTTTACAATATAGGTGCTCAACAGCACTGCTGAGCATTTGACCACCTGGTTGAATGATTACAGCAGGGGTGGTGCTGTCAGCTGTCAGCCCAATGCTGTTGACAACAGCAAGGGTGGTAGAGAGGTGGTAGAGAGGGGATGCAGTTAGCAGCAGGGTCGGTGCAGTCAACAGCAGAGGCGGTGCAGTCAGCGGCAGAGCCAATGTTGTCGGCAGCAGAGGTGATAGAGGTGGTGCAGTCAGCAACAGGGTCAATTCAGTCAGCAACAGAGGTGGCATGGTCAGTAATGTTGTAGAGGGGTGGTGCAGTGAGCAGCAGGGTCCATGCAGTGAGCAGCAGAGGTGGTGTGGTCAGCAGTGGGGTTGGTACAGTTAGCCAGCAGAGGTGGTGCAATCAGCAGTGGGGTTGGTGCTGTCAGCAGCAGAGGTGGTGCAGTTAGCAGTGGTGCTGGTGCAATCAACAGTAGAGGTGGTGCTGTTACCTGTGATACATTGGTGACCTCTGGCCATGTCATCACTGTCTGGGGTGATCCTGGGGATTGTGAGTGATCTGGTTCTGCTCAGCTGGCCATGTAAGACATGCAAGAACATATATAATAACATTTGCATTCCATACATTGTGCTGATAGTTTCTCTTACTCCAAAAGGAATGGAGGAATGGAGGAATCATCCCAGATAAGACCAATGGCATAGGGAGCCCTGTCAGAGATGGTATTAATCATTATTAGCAAAAGCACATATGCATCATGCAGTGTTTCACATGTGAATTAATCCTTACATGAGACATTGTCTATAACTGTGTGCAAAATGATGGAATTGCTATATATCTTCTAATTTGTTGGTGGCACCTGTTGATGCGAAGAGCTGAAAACAAGATGGCACATATTCATTTCTTGTATTGACTAAAGAATGAAGCAAAGCAAAGCATACACCACCAAATTGGCATCCCAATGGAAACTACACATACATCTACTAAAATATTTACCACCACTTCAGCCCTTCAGGAGCCTTATTCTAAACATTTTAGCAACAAAGTCACAAATGCATTTACTCAGATAACTTTGGCAAGTCAACCACAGCATAACCTATGACTTCACCATCATGGAATACTGCTGAGCCAGCCTGTCAAACTCATTCTCCTTTGTCTGGTAGTCTCTCATGAATGGGTGGCTAGCATGAGAGTCCTTCAGCTGGCTGAGATATCTGGCAATCACTTCTGGAGGCTTTCCAGTGTGCTGCGAGAGGACAATCAGGTTGATCAGGGTTTCTGGGTTGTCGTTATCCTTATCCAGAGCATTTTGTAATACAGGCTCTGCCTCCTCATACTTGCACATCCCAAGAAAGCATGCAGCTTGACCATTGAGCAGCAATGGTGTGGGAACAGACTTGTCAATAAGCTCCTGGAAGATGTAGAATGCATCCTGGAGCTTCTCCCCTCCAACAGCAATGTTGAACCATGCATGGGCAAGCTGGGTGACTGTTGAATCATCATCCTTCTCCTGCATTGCTTTCAGTTCCTTCTGAGCAAGATCAACTCTGTCCATTGCAAGGTACATCTGGAGTGTCAGTGCTGAGCACTCAAGGTCTGTTGCTTGGTGCAGGACCCTCAGGGCTGCTTCATGGTTCTGTTCATTTGCATAAATTGTTGCCCCTGCCAAAAACAGAGCCACATTGTTGGGATCAATGTCACCTGCAAACTTCTTGTCCAGTTCTGTCACAACCTGATCTCGCTTGGATCGTGAACCAGACAGGTACTCAGCCAATAGTTTCAAAGCCTGCAATTCTGGTGCTGATGCCCCATGAATTTCATCTTTCACAATGCTGAACTTTTTCAGAGCAATGTACGCCCTGTACAAGAACACATCTCTTGCCAGCCGCTGCTCTTGTCCATTTACCTTCAGCTTTTGAGCTTCTGTTATGCACTGTTGATAGTTGCCCAAATAAAAGGAATTTTTCACTTCAAACAGCTCATCTACGTCATTTCCCTGGCTCCCCATCATCCGTTCCGGAATATGCCGTTTAATGTGGCCGACACTGCTCTGCCACACGTTCAGTCAGCACGCAGCTCCGCTTGCCAAACCGCCCTGATTTCGGGGATCTGTGTTTAAAAACCTCTGAAACAAATCCGAAATCACCATAGACTATAAACAGTAACCACCGCGCGGACCTAGTCGCTGCTATCTTGCAAAGTGGCGTATTTTAACGCACCCTGCCCGAAACCACGGCTCGATTGTGTAACGACAGCAGCTGCGGCATACCTGACGCGATATGTTGACGTGTAAGGAAACAGCAGTACCAAATCAAAATCGACCGGCAAAGCCGCGCTGCTACGCATTTCGGCTACGCATATTGCATACGAAGCGTGTAACAAACTGTATAGTAGTTTTGAACAGCCGACATAACTGCCAATTGTAGACTTGATTCATTAAAGTTCAGGCTTTTGTACCGCGCTAAGGCATACGCAAACGGGCGCGGACCATGCGACCAGGCTGGAGGAAGTAACGTGAATCCTTTTTTATGTTGTTAACTTCCACCTAGCATAGTAAATGGTGTCTTTATTTTAACATGGTTGTAACTCTCTTATTATGCCCGCAGAACCTGATCCGCTCCGCTTTTCAAGCGGCGGTTGGGCGTTTATCTTCAACCATAGAACACATTCATTCAATAGCCGTGCACGTACGTTCAATAAGATATATTGTGCTGATATACTAATGGAGATATTGCACTGAATATAATAAAGTACATAAGTATTTCTCATTATCATTATCATGGTGTTTTCCTTTGTTTTTACAACATTTTTGCAACTTCATGATATACTGTCTATTAGTACCAATAGTTTCATTCAAATCCGAGAGTTTGGAGCAGTCAGCGTCATTGCCCTTCTCTATCACTGGGAAACCAAAGTGGAGCTGGGGGAAGATGGCTGATGAGGGCGATATCATTGGTGTCGGGAGTACTGTGTACTGCAAGAATTGTTTCGACGAAGAAATAACGGGAGAAGTTATTGCGTTTGAGAGGCAGACGAAGTTTCTGGTTTTGAGTATCCTTTTCGCCTTATGTCGGAGTGAGGTTGTGTGCGTCGGATTAGTCTCGCACGCCGGTCGCACGTGAAATGTGTTTAGAATGCATTTTTAATATTTTAATTGAATTTGAAAGGAAAATAATGACATGAGATTTTGACGTATTGATCTTCAGTCCAAGAGATGGCATGCACCTCTTGCTTTACATGCTCAGAACCTCGTGATGGGCGTGACTAAGGTGTGGGTGTGCAGCTGAGTCCAGGAGTGAAGGTGATGTAATATGTGATGTTCTTGCCGGTTTTCTGGCTTTCCACTTTTTGTGATTCCGCTTTTTTCTTCATTGTAGCCTACTTTGTATTGTATTGTGGTGTTGCTCCAGTAGCCATGGCATGTAGAGGAGATGTGGCAATGTGCTGTAGACTAATGCAAGGGAGTAAATGTGCAGAAATTTTAACAACATTGGTAACACCTATAAGCATTTGTTTTCTCTATGAGGATTGCACAGGTTGAGCCAGCAGGCTTTGCAAATGATTAATAAGGTTGCAACAAAAAGTTACAGGTTGTTACCAATCTTAGTGAGTGAAGTATCATATGAACTATCAAATAACTAATTTAGTATGTGCCCTGTAATGATTAGTTTGTATTACTATTGGTGCTATAATAATAGTGAATCTTAAATATAGTTAACTGTTTTCTTAGTAAGCAATGATTTTAAATTATATAAGTACCATGCATGACAGCTACTTCATATGGAGGGGTCTGACATTAGGCATGTTTGTACCCTTTAACATGAGAATTGCATTTATATTATGTTTATTTGTATCATTTCCAACCCCAAGAAGTAAGATAACAATGAATGATATCTGTCATTTGGCTCTTAAGCAGAAGGTTGCAGAAGGAGAACCTTTTGCACTGGGCATAAGTGTCAGTAATGGCTGGCATGTTCATGAAGCAAGAATTTGACAGAACATTATTTTTACCACTTGCAAGGAATCCTTTCATGTATTCTACCTTGTTCTGGACTTCAATATTGCAAATGCAGTGAAAAATCAGCATTCTATGTTTAAATCAGTAGTGAGATATGTGATCCTGGGAATTATGCTATTAAATACAGCATGGCAACTCAAATAGTATAAGTTGCCTGTTTCTCCCTTCTTGTATCACTTGAACACACCTGGTTTTGTTCAGTATTAATAGTAGATACAAGAGGAACCAACTTAATGAGACAGAATACAAGGTTGATGTAGGTATCTATAGATAAATTAAGTTATTCTTTTATATTTTCATATTTGGCACTGTTTTTGTGGCCTGATGCATCCTGCTTGGCAACATTTGGACCATGCTGGTATGATGTGTGTGATTTGTTATCAGAGTCTATTTTGTTGTACTTTTTTATCTACCTCTGCAATGCTTGTATAGATGACCAGCAATATGGTAAGCTATTATTAAGCAAAGGTTGAATGACATTTGATTCCAGCATGCAAGCTAAACTTGGTGTGTTATTGTTAGGACAATAGAAGCTAGATAAAAGGGTCCATGGCACAAATTTCAAAGCAACACTGGATTATTTTACTTATGCAATTATGCTGCACAATTTTAGCTCTCAGTAGATATTTGGCATGGTTAAGTGTAGGTAACATTAAGTGAATGTTGTGGTGTTGCATGCATTCCAAGTTTTAATGTATTCTTTATGTGGAGTCTGCTAGAAATGGTGAAAGGCAATGATCCTCATATGCATGGGATTGTCAATCAGACAGATGTTTTGAGGATCAAATAAAAAAGCCCTGTCTGTTTTAAGACTTCAAACCCACTGGTTTCTTAGCATGCCTGGTACACACCCATGCAGACTATTTCAAGGTCACCCAGATAGGCATACCATACCATAAAAATTTGCCACTGCCCATCTGACCATAGAAATGCTATTTGGTCAGAGGTCAGGTCAGACTATTTGGTCAGGACAGCAGAAAATTAACAGCAAAGCATGCAGACAAACCTTGGCCCAGTTCCCTTCAGGTTTGGCTCTGCTAGATAAAAAATAAAAAGAATTGATTGGTGCAGCATAATGAGAAACATTGATTTTCATTGCAGATTTATCCAAATTTGCATAATGGACTGTGGTCTTTGGCTCTTTACAGCATGCTTTTGGCTGTGAGGACCATTGACCTGCAAGGAAAAGTATTTTGTTGAGGGTTGTGCTGCCAGAAGGCTTTGTTGTGGAATGCATTGCTGCATCACCCTCCTTACATACCCCTTTGCCCAACCTATAATCTGAAGTATTGAAGATGGTAAATGACCATTTAGCATGTGTGGTGATATGAGAACCCATTTCAATCATATGTTGACTCAGCAAAAGTAAGGAACCTTAAAAAGCAGCATGTCCCAAAATGCCTGTCACAAGTTACATACCACAGGGTATTGTTGGGTGCCTCAATTTTAGCTTGCTTGTTTCATCAGCTGAGGAAGCCACCAAGCTTTTTCACCCAAGCCAACAAGGCTTTCCAGTGTGGTATGTAAAACCAGAAGGGGAGAAATAAGCCTAGGTTATAAAAAACCACACGTAATAAACAGAAACACCGGTCTTGTTCTGGAATCAATGTAGTACTCCACTAATTGTGTGACCCTGCTCCAGGGAAGAGTTTTGAAGGTCTGATGTAGAAAGAAATTTGTGTGTGCCTACTCAATGTTAAGGCTCACCTTTCAATATGAGAAATGAATAAGGCATGCAAATGGCATGAGGGTTGCAAATGTGTGCCTTGCTGATCATGAGCCAAACATAAAGCCAGACAAAACCTGTAAGTGGTTTGATTAATCAGCATTGGAAAACTTGGTGTTTCCTGGTATAATGTATGCCAGAAGATTCTGTACTCAGGATTGTGACTAGGTAAAATGAAATGTGTTATACTCCATCATGATGCAACAAGAACAGCTTTTGGAAAAAACTCACTTTATCTCTGTGTCAGGACAGAATAAAACCAGGATGTACAACAGCTTGAGACGTGCTGCTTCCATCAGGAGCCATGTATTGATATATGCAAGAGCACAAATATTGCACCCACCAGACTAACATGCCTAATAGCAAGCAGCCTGTGTTGCCACTTAGGTATATGATAAACCATGTATGAAAATGTAAAAAATAAAGCATGTCAATGCTGAATGGAATAGCCTATAAACAATGCCAGGAAATAAGAAATGAGTACTAGAATCGCACTGGTCTGTAGATTACCTTTACGCTATGCAGACCAACTCAAACTTGAACATGACTTAACCTACCATTGACGACGAACCGCATTAGTTGCCAAGGATGCAATGAACACTCTTAAAAACCGCACGCCCAATCACCTACCGCAAAAGGCCGCCTACCCACGCGTCGCCACTGTGTCATGGCAATGCAAATAAGAGAATCACTCGCAATTCAGCGTCAGAAACGCCTGAACCATTCAGTGGCTTGCGCCCACCTTCCAGCTCAGGTTGTAGGTTGAACATAGGAAAACTCCAACTGGCTTTAATGATTCACCTCCTCGTGACTGATTTGTCAAGAGCATAAATATTCTGCACACGCCCATGCCATGAACAGACTTGTAAACATTTGGAGGGAAGCTGTATAGAGATGGGCATCACAATTATGAAGGACTTATTTGTACTCGCCCAGAACCGCCATGTGGCTGGATTTTTGGCCACTTCCTGGTATTCGGAGTACAAAAATGTTAAGGCAGCTGTGGATTTAAACCAAGTTGAATGTCACATTAAAGCTGGTAATTCAGGCCTTACAAAATACTCTTTTAATAAAAAAATAAAAGTTAAAATACCCAAAATGACCTTTAAATGTTGCTATAAATAGCCCAAAAACTGTTCGGAGACAACCATCTCACTCCGGCAAGAGCGCCAGGACACTAGAGTGACATGAATCCATGACTGGCCCGGCAAAGTAAGGAGAAGGGCTTATTAGGACAAAAACATCAATTAATGGCATCATAAGTTATCATCTTGTGCAATATCAGTTAAAGCGCATCAAAATCCATTAATGCATTGCATTATCCGTCGGAGCCAGCGGAGTGACTGACTCCGATCTCTTTTGGCCGGCCTACACGGGTCTGTCAGGCATTGTGCTTGCGCTGGCTCAGTAAATGGCTGGAGAGTGCTGTCTGTCTCTATTGTTTGGGTGGGACGTGCAGGGCCTCGGGTGTTAGCTGGGTGTGGGAAGGTGGAGAGCATGAATGTTTAGCTGTGTTTAAAACCAGCTAGCTGGTGGAGCGTGACCGTGGTGGGGCGAGAGTAGCGTGATCGTGGTGGAGCATGAGAGGGTGGCCGTATGTGGCGTGCTCATTCGCATTTATTGCGTACTGTTTTTGTCTGGCTGTGCATATCGTACCCAACCTCCATTTTGGAGAGTGTATAAACTTGCGGCGTAATTACCCTCCATTTTGAAGGATGTATACACAGAGCCTTTCATAAATTGCAAACCAATGAATATGCACATGTGTTTCATAGTACAGAGCATGAGACTGTTGTTTCAGTGTGGCATGATTAATACTGATGTTTCCTTTCATTTAAAATGCTTCTACATGAATTGCTGTATATGAAAAGTGGCGTGTTTGTGGAGCGCCACCCATTGTACTATTATCTCTGAAAGATAACCTAAATATAGCTGTAATGACCCACAGCACTTTGGTAGTTTTGTACTCCACTATAGAAAATTTGTACTCCGCTACCAGGAAAATTTGTAGAATTGCCAACACTGATTAATTGAACACATGATCACTGTGGAAGTGAAGCAAGTCTAACTTTGGTGGCTGTCGGTGAAAGCCAAAACCTGCACAAAATGTTGTATCAAACAGGAGAGGGAACAAAGCTGTGTCACTTCATTGGTATGTCAGTGAAAATCATATAGGCTAAGGCTGGTCTGTAATCTCCAGAAAACAATGTGGGCATTTTTTGCACAAGGTTGTTTATGGACATTGCGGCAGAGATGTGAATGAAGTATTTCCTTAACCAAGAACAACCAGAACGGCCGCCAACGAACGGCCGACCTACCCAGTGTGATGTGCTGTTCCTGAATCTGAACACTGTCAAGGATTTAAAGATCACCAAGGAGGTTAACAGTCCCACGGAGCTTACGCTTCAGAACCTGGACATGAACTTGGTGAGTGTCCCAATCTTCAGGACTGTGATGCTCGGCCTGGCTGTAATAATCGTGTTATTAAAAATGACAAAATAAACTCACTTAGTGTGTTGGGCATCTGTAAGACATAGACTATAACATAGCTTGGGTTTGGTGCATTTTGAGTCATTGCCCAATTTGGCACTGGTATATGCAACTGAACACACTGGTCACTGATTTGAATCCAGATTCCTAAAGCTGACCCAGCGCGGGTGGCCTGGCTGGAGTAGACTGCCGCCAGCAGGCCCAGCTGTCATGCAATGACTGCTCTCCACACAGCAGCTCATGGTGGCCATGTTTTCAGTTGTCCGCCCGGAAGGAGGCGGAACTGGAGAAGAAGCGGCGTCTGGTGGCGGCCATCAAGGCCAACGTGTCAGACGAGGGTCGCGACCTCTTTGCACACATCGCCAAGACGTACGTACCCGTACCGCCCTGCTTATGGTGTTGATGTACCTGTTTTTCTTTGCTGTCATAGGCAGCCATTTGCGTGTTGCATGCCTGCCTGCGGTGTGTGATGAACGTGTGACCAAGCGAACGAATGGCATCAAATTAATTTATCCTGTGTTATGTGACAGTATCATGTTGATCAGGGGTAACAATTTTGGGTTTTATCAGTTTTTGTGCTGTTAAAATCTGGCGTGTTCTGTCAGAAGACCAGATAGCCATAATACTCCAAAATTTAGCGCCCTATTGACATGTCTTGACCGCAGTGGTATTTCAGTCAATGTGTGATACATTCACAGAAATTGGCTTTTGGATCCATGCCCTTTGAACAGGTGTCACAGCATAAGTGCTACGGCAAAGACTCGTACGGGCAAGAGTGCTACGACATCAGCTATACGCGATAGTATCTTTATGGCAAAACCTTACACACAGACTTAGCTTATAAGTGACTATACTATACTTCTGTTGCAAAGACTTATACAGATGTCGAGTGCTCACAACAAAATGTATGCTTTTAAAACTTATGCTTGTCATTGCCTATACAGCCAAGACTTTGATGTATTTCATTGGACATTACATTATACTGCAATGCGGTTAGTTCTACTTGTTATTTTGCTGGTAATATATGGCAGTCTATGCCACTAGTGGCTTCTGTCAGTTGTTTAAAATGGTAAAAGCTGGCTGGCGGCAACTTTTGCAGCCAGTTGCTGCCAGTCCCAATATTAAATGTTAACCGAGATGACGGTACGGCACACTGACAATTGGACGCCAGCATCAATTGTTCCCGTGCCGCTGCGTTGGCGCACCGAGACGAACAGCGCACGCGTTGTGGTATGGCGGGACGCGCGGTCTGTCTGGACACCAGGGCTGGTCCCTTCCCGTGCCCTCGTCGCCTCGCCCCCCTCCCCCCCCCCCCGTCCCGGCGGCCGGCCGCGCTCACCTGATCCCGACGTCGCGCCGGCAGTCTGGAAGAGATCCAGTGGAGCGGCACCGACATCGTGGTGATGAACCAGGTCACCATCAAGGCGCCCTACCAGACGGCCAACATGGCCGGCCAGACCGATAGCCAAGCCTACCAATACGTCTCCAAAATTGTGAGGACCCATGCAGACCTGTGCGTGTGAAATGCCACGGAGTGCAAGTAAACTAGGCCTGACGCCCCCATTGCGTCGTGTTGCTCATGGAAGCGGCTCAGGCTTTCCCTTCCACGCTACGTATGGTACTAGCGCATGTGGTGCAGGAACGATGTTTGTCGCTCAGGTGTTTGTATGACTGTCGACTCGTGTAATTGCGATGGAATCCAACGCAAGCTTCCGCCGGTGGCAGTGGGCCAGTAGAGGTAAAAGGGTCTTCGAGTCGGGTGAAGCCGGAATATTGTATCATTCTTCGAGCTGCAGTATTTTCAGGCTGTCTTCGTACCCTGGTTTTGATAAGTAAAGGGGAACTGCAGACTGTCCAACCCCCTCATGTTACTTGCACTAGCGCAATATCCTGGGGTGTCGCGGACGTATTGCGGCTGTGGTCGTGTAACGTTACTGAGATCACGTAGCATTGGCCCAACTTTGTTCCCTTCCTCTGTGTCGTGCGCGCGTCCTCTCGTCACACCCTTGGCGGGAGCGTCGATCGAAAGGTTTCGACGGCTTGCCTCCTGCTCCAAGCAGCAGGTTGGACGCCGAAATTATCAACTGAACCCCCAGCGTCTAATCTAAGCGCCGTTCAGCATTGCACTTCAGTGGGCTTGGCGCGCGGTCTGCTGCACCGTACCCACTTGACTGATAGCCGCCAAGCTGCTAACCTGGCGCGTTCTCGCCGGCAGGTCGAGAAGTTCAACAACGAGCGGAGTTCGTCAGCAGCATCGCCAAGCCAATAGAGTACCATAACCCAACCCTGGTATCAGTGCATTATTTATGTTCGGCTGCCTAGTGTGAATGTTTCCAGCCTCCGCAATGCGCGATGTAAAACAGGCCCGCTCCATTAAATCCTGAAGCGATGAGGTTGTCGAGAAATTAGGCCAAAGCGGGTACGAGACAGCTTTTAATTTAAAATTTCGTTGACTGTTTGCGTGGTGTGAATGCTGCGCGCGGCGTCGTGGCGCGCAAGAGTCGGCGGTCGGCCGAGGTGTCGTTTGTATTATTTTATAAGGGTGTTCGTGGGTGGCGCTGTGCGGTGGTGTTGCCGCGGGGCACCAGCCGGACCGCGCGCCCCTCCCCTCCCCCTGCCGTGGCGGCATTTAGTATACAGAGCAGCCGCCCCCGCCCGATCCTCCGGCGGGGACGCGTGCTCAGGAGGCCTAGGTCCGCCCGGCAGGTCACAGTTTTGTACTCGGCACACTCAGCTCAAGCAAATTGAACGTGTCTGAGAGCGAAGTCGTGCGTGAGCTGGCGCGGAGAGAATACACTCCCGGAGGTGACGTGGCTGTTGTCGAGCGCAGTCGACAGCAGCGCTCGGGGCCACACACGCGGTCGACTGTGGCGCCGTTAGCGGCAGTTGTATTTACAGATGCGTGGACGCGGAGACCGCCGAGATTCCGGCGCGGGGTTCCCCCTGCGCTCGCTGTCACCAGGATGAGGCCCCTCCCACGCTGCGCCACATCACAGGCAGAGCGGACACGGAAACAGCGGCGCACCACAGGCACGCCGCCTGACGACCATCGGGGGCCATGTTTCCTCACATCGCGCGCGAGCGTCACTTCTTGAAAGGAACGTCCTTCGGGAGGAACGGCATCGGCAGCAGTTCTTTCATACTGGTCCTCTTGGTCTGGCCGTCCGGTTTCGCCAGGATCACCGGCATCTCCGGATTGAATTCGGCCAGCACCTGGAACAAAGCGCCATGTGACAATCCGCATCGTGCGCTTCGCCAGCACCTGGAACAAAACGCCGTGTGATAGTCCACACCGTGCGCTTTGCTCGCCGCCCATCTTTACTCATATGTTCCTCTCACACGGGCTTGCCACATTTTATTCTCTACTGGCCGGTATGTCGTAGACCGCTGTCCGGGATCTTGGTCTAGGCGCAGCCATAACTGTGCCGTTTCCCATCGCACCATGTGGGCGTACGGGCCGGAAACTACTTTGTTTTGCACACTCACTGTTCATCAATGACCTAAAAATGGGAAGATATGCGATGGGTTGCTTCCAGCTACTGATGTAGGATAAATACGGTTGTATCCTTGCTCTGAATCGCGCTGTACATCATGGGGAGGGGACCCGACGCCACATTGTCCGATCGAAATGCATTTCGCGCATATTAGTCGATGGACGTGGTGCGACGGTGCCATGTAACCACGTCGTAACGTCTTTCGAACTGATTGTCGTCGAGACATCCAGTGTCTGACAAAGCGATTTGAAAGCCTTTTAAAATTTCAATTTGTTCAGGAATGTTGCAATACTGTAACCTGCACTCATGGCTGCACCCAAGCCCCCGGCGGCTTACAAGCAACAATCCTGATTTCCCAGCACCGTTCCCATGCCTGGGGTCGGCCTCGTTTGAATGGTGACAAGCCCGCACTAATCTCTCCGATGGCTGGAGGCGCCCAGATCCACGCCACCAGCTAGCAGACCCCGCCGGCGTCGGCACGTCATCACCCACCTGTCTGCAGGCGCCGCACGGGCCGACGAACACGTCGCCCATCTCGGCAGCGATGGCGACGGCCGAGAACCGGCGGCGGCCCTCGGCCACGGCGCGGAACACGGCCGTGCGCTCGGCGCAGTTGGTCAGGCCGTACGAGGCGTTCTCGACGTTGCAGCCGGTGACGACATGGCCGTCGGCGCAGAGCAGCGCCGCGCCCACGGCGAACTGGCTGTAGGCACAGTACGCCTGCTCGCGCGCCTCCAGGCTGCTGGCCACCAGCTGGGCGATAGCAGCCTCTGTGGACGCGCCGACCCAACCAGGTCACGGCCGCGTCGGGAGGGGCGGTGTCGGGCTAGATGGTGTCTCGTTCACGCGCTGACTGACCCGACAAATGACCAAGCTTACTTGCAAAATGGTTGTGGTTTGTATGACCACGAAAGGTATGCGAGGTGTTGAATGGAATGGAAAACTGTTCACAGTGCTTACAGAGAAAAGCACGTCCCTTTACCCGTTCACAAGAAGCCCCACGGTCATTTGAGCGTTTTTCGGCAAATCGCACCTTGCACCTCGCTTGATCATCCCTAACTATTATCCAAAGTCGTTGTCTTCAGCTTTGTAAAATGCATGTCACGCGGTCTCGGTGAGCATCCCTTCCAATGCAACGTTCAAATTTTGAGTGAGGTTAATCCGAGGACCGCAGGCGCGACACCTACTGGTGCCCCTGGCACTGGTCTATTTACGCAGTTATGAAGGAAAAGTTGGAAAGTAACGACCGCTAATCCGAAGCGAGGTGAAAAACATCGACTAGCGAGTCTGATTTTCCATACTGAAAAGTCCATGGTAGTCAGCACAGTACTCCGTAAATATCCGGCGGTCTGCGGTGCCTCACCGTCCATTGTCGGCGGCTCAGCGGGCTCCGGGGGACTCTTGGCCACTATCCTGATGGCGGGTCTCTTGGGGGGCGGGGACGCAGCGCCGTCCGGGGAGTTCCTGGGGGCATGAGCAGGGTCGGTATGCCGCGTAAAGGTCACGGGCCGGGCCGGACCGCACTGGAGCGAGCTAGAGGCCGAATGCCAGGGTGCAGTCGGAAACCTCAGCAGCTGAGGCTGGGTGACAATGACCAAACGCTGGTATTTGAGACCTTCACCTAAAAAAGCGTCGATCGAGCCATAGCTCAAAATACATCAACAGAAAAGATACATTGACAGAGCCGGCCGCCGCACGTGGGTATCGAGCTGACGGATGCGCCCCTGGCCAGCTCGTCATTTTTGTTCTGAAACTGAAAATAAGTTTGGAAATAATGTCGTCCTTATCTTGTTCACATACAGCGCACATACATCCCGCGCTTCGTGTCTCGGGCTACAGTCTTCCGCAATCCTGCAACCTTAATCACTGCCCACTTCAACCGACCTGCTGAGCCCGGCTCTTTATCACTGACATGAGCTGGCCCCTGGCAGCGTACCGTAACCTATCACCTTATCATTGTCCTCACGGCCTACGTCCTACGCCTCACCCTTTGCCTTCAATTCCCTTTTGAATATACGTCACGTCACCGCGGCTCGTGAGCTGGCCCGCCACCGGAGTGCGTAATTGGTCCGGCCACCGAACAAGATGCAAGTACAACACCAATCTGATCAAAACAATACCATACCAGTCTGATCAACAATATACAATACCGCTTAGATGGTACAGTGCTCGTGAAACGTAACACATGTTAAGTATGCAATAGCATTGCAATGGCCTTACAGTGAGTTTATCTGTAACAGCCGTTAAATTATATGCATTTTGAATCAATTGTTGGTTACGGACCTTGCTCACAGCTTCAAAAAGTAAAAACTTAAAATGAACACCAGACAATGTTGAAAGCGTTTTCTCCTCAGAGCACACGTGATAAAACTATGTAAATCGCTCACACTTTGACCGAACAAATCATAAAAAACGGACGAAAAAACACAGAGCTAGTGCTTGGCCAGTGAAAGCTAGTGTATTTCGCTTGAAAAACGCCAGCACATTTTATTGGTGCAAAGCTAGTACATTTCACTTGTACAGAGCGGGGGTATTTTATCGTCTGTGATTTACTGTAATTGGTTCGGTCGAGGCGTGGGCAATGCGAGGCACTTCATCACGTGTGTTCTTAGGAAAAACGCTGGCACGCCTGGCATCTGGTGTCCGTATCACATTTGTACTTTCCGCATCTGCGAGCAAGGTTCGTGGCCGAAAATTCGTTCGAAATACATGTTACATTACAACTTCCACGTATGTTAATCATTGTACGGTCCCTTTCATTCGAAATCAATACAATATCACAGGTAAAAAGCTGCTAACATAGACCGTACTTCAAGGACACGCCCGAATACGGTCGCACGTTTCGCTTTCAAACCAGCCGTGAGTCGCAGCGCAGGTCCCGGTGCGTCATTTTTCGGGCCCGATCACCAATCAGCTCCCATCCGTTCTACGGAACGTTTACCACGAGGTGTCGTTTAGGTGAAACAAATGTTCGGAATAGTAGCCACCAACGCTAGTGCCATAAACAAGGGCTGGGAGACGTTACTTGCTGAAACGTCATATAGGCAGTACACCAATGATGTGAAGAGATCGCAAAACACATTTGACAAGAGAAAGTGAATACCTGCACATAATATTACGTTTACTGGTGAACTGATGCTCGTGAATGTGTGCATGTGCATGTAATACATAGTGAAAGAACAGACCAAGACGAGCACTGCAGCCCGAGTAGTTTCCAAATGTGTAGTACACACTGCTTTGGCCTTTTTTGTTTGTTTTGTCCACGCGTTTAGGTACCTATTCCTGGCGCGTAACAATGTACAACAAAACCGCCGCAGGCCGGGCCAACATCTTTACGTGCAAAACAATAACCAGCAGTGGTAACGAGCTGATCAACAGCTGCTGACGTAAGAGAAGCAACAGAAGAACCAACATAGCCTCCTGTTAGTAGGCGGCAGGAAAACCGCGACCAGTCGAGGGCCAACGCATGAACAGCAAGTACCAGGCCAGTGTCGGGAAAATGGAACGTTGATTTCAGAAGGAAACATAGAGAAACCATCGAGGATGGAACTAGGCAACTGTTGAGTCATCAGGCAAACGGTCCACAACCAGCGCGACAACCACAAAGCTTGCAGCGAGTAACGCAACATAGAGCCAGCAGAAGAGTATCAATGTACAAACGATGCAGGGGGAGCGATATAACTAGTGCCATACCACTAGCGGAAGCTGGAAATATGCTCACGTGTGTATTTATGCAGGCATGCGTTACAGTCCTGCAATGTGTGTTTTCACTATGCTCGACTAGGTGACAATAATTTTGCTGATTTGAACTTAGCCAAAGCACCACTCTCCCAAAACAGTTTTGTGTCACAGGTTCTGCCCGTTCCCGCATTCCGAGAAACGTCTTGTGCTGTAAGTCATCAACTGGAGATGCCCGGTCCATTCGCGGCCCGCAGGAGCCTTCGTGTCCCTCTGCCGCCACCAGCGTGGGCCGGACAAATGCCCGAGGTGCATGACATCAAACATCAAAAGGGCTGAAGGGTTTTGCAGAATACTGGCACAGAAACTGCTGCTGAACTGTGGAAAATAAGCAAGCGAAACCAGCCAGGAGAACAGCACAATTGACCTCTCTGTATGCCCACATGAAGTTTCCATCCCCACAATGCTGACGACGCTACAGGAAATAAAAGAAGACGCTCAGGTAACAATGAAGTATAATGCACGATATCTGACACATAAACAGGCAACAATATAAGCATGTAAAATCACAGCCTGCTAAGCACATTGTAAGTTGCTGTTCCAATCTTGCAACCATTAAGTCACAGCTAACAAGATGCCTTCAACAGAACGACACAGCCAAGGCACAGTAGCCACATGAACACAAAATTCAACACGGGTGCATTCCTCTGACCACCGATGAGCCCGCGTTTGCGCCGCCCTGCGCTGCGCCGCCGGCGCCGGTGTTGGTCCGGGCGCGGCGCGCTGGAGGGCGGTGCGGCCTGGGGGAGTTACCGTCCGCCGCTGGACCAGACGCTCAGCTCCGAGTACTCCTCGAGGACGGACTCGTCGCGCGTCTGTCGGCGCAGGCGCGCCAGGAAGCTGGTCAGCTGGCGGGCCGTGAAGCCCGTGAAGCCCAGCTGGCGCAGTTCGGAGTCCATCACCGGCGCCTTGGTGATGCCAGCCCGGAACAGCCGGGTCGCCTCCTGCCGGCGCCGGTCCGCAGTCGCCGGTGATGAGGTGGGTCACCGCGGAGCCGTTGTGGTGGTGCGTTGGACGCCACACACCAATAATGTTAGACAAGGCTGCAGTTATAACAGATGCAATTACACAACAGCATGTTCAAAAATTGTATGTGCAGCAGGATCATACAGAGACCAAGTAACATTGCATTATCTAGTAAACCAGCATTGGCATGATTCCTTATTTTCTGGATATCCGTGAATATGATATAGCAGACAACTGGAGGAGCAATTGGATCCTTAGCCGTCCTGATAACCAACATGGAAGAACTGGGCCGACCACCAAACTTTTAGCAAGAAAGACATCTTATGTTCATTGTCATCTTATGAATTTAGGCATCATGAGTTGGAAATTGTTGTCCCGAAAACAACAGGCCTTCATTATTCCATGAGGTGCTGGTTAAACAACATTATCATGTATGCATCGGTTCCATTGAAGGAACTAAGCATTTTGTGCCATGTACTCATCCTCAAAGTGACATTTGACCAAAGACCGCATGAACAGCTGCCATCCCTGGCCCGTCCTGCACGTGGCCGGCCAGGCCGGACAGGCCAGCCATTGATAGAATATCAACCAAGGACAGGCTTTGAAGTGTCACGTATTCTTCATGTAGCCAATGACTGCTTGATAATGTCATTTGACCAGAACCTCCTAATCTATTGAAAGTCAATTTCTTCTGGTATGAGGAGTCCCAGCACCCATCTCAAGTACAAAATATTGTTGCCAGCTCTGCAATTAACTGCATTTGGGTATTGCAATAGGAAGAAAGAAACTACTGGGTTCCTAACTACCCACTCCCAGATAACCATCAGAGCAGCATGAATCCATGAATAACATTCAGTTTCACAGCAGTCATACAACACTGCTTAAGATCTTCATCAGGATATCACCCAGGTGGGGCTATGTGGACTACTTAAACCTACTTAAATCCTGAGAGCATCTGTTCCTGGTCACAATGTCCACCATGGACAATCACCAGGACATGTCCATGACCATGAATCCACCAATGCAAGTCACAGACAGAGGTGGTGAACTCACGCTTTTGGTTTCCTCTGAAAGACCCCAGCCAGAATGGGATCGCTCCTCATGCTGGTGCTCTTTGCCATTGGTGGAGATGATAATGTTCTCACTGGAGCTCTCATACAGGGCTTCCAGTTGCACCAGGCATCCAGCACCAGTGCACTGAAAGTACTCTTTGGCACCCCGAGATGTGTATGAGGTTCGTCTCCTGCACCATTTGTAGCCACTTGCTGTTTCTGTGATGACAAAAGAAAGCTGTCAAGGTTGGTATCTCCAAGGGGTCTATAGTTAGAAAAAAAATGTGTTACAAGAATTATAAGAAACTATCTACATTCTTCCCAATGCTCAGCAGTAACATGTGCAAGCAAGGTGATGCCTCACTCCTAGCAGGTTGCAGGCCCTAACATGATGACCAAGCATGTAAAGTGACAAATGCAGTCATCAAATATGTTTCAAAGCATGTGCACTTGGGAATTTAGCCTTTCAAGTTCAAATTCATTAGGGTTTGAAAATTAATACTTAGATACAATTTTGCAAATAGAGCAATATTACGCATCATGCTTATGGTGTTATATGCAAATATTGTTATACCATCCCATATCATCATCCAGGGGAAGCATTCTGGATGCATGACCTACAGGTATATAGGGGCAGAGGTACAGGTTTGACTCCCCACTATGTGTGCCATGCAGTTCTTGCCAGGGTGAGAGGCAGCCAATGCCATAAAGCCTCAGCAGCTGAGTCTGACTATTAACACCCAATCCTGGTCAGAGCTGACATGACTTAACATGATCCCATCTGACTTAATCAAATCAGATCAGATCCAAACCAGCCTGACATGAGCTGAGCTATCTTAATCAAACTCAAGTCAGCAACTTGCCCCACCAGTCAATAGCCATCACAACTAATTATACCTTTCACAAGTTCTTGACTGTTCTGCGAGCATTGCAGCCCGCATCGTGAAATAACAAGCATCATAAACAAACAAACCGCACCTATCGGGGGTCGTTACTACTCACCACTTTCCTTAAACCACTGGGTGAGAGCTTCATTTGAAGGAACTGTACACAGTTCATCCCATACCTGTGCCTTGCCCCTTGCGCGCTTCTTAGTGGCAGGCTCAGTAGACTCTTCTGTGGCCACACCGTCATCAATACCAAAAGTCGGCGACGGAGATGTTACTACCACGATCACCTCCTGTCCGTCAATGGTTTCTATGCTCATCGTTACCCAAATATTGGTAAGACCCGCACAAGTTAGGTCCCACAACCAGAACAACAGAACTATCACTAAATGTCAACGGTCTCTGGTGTCTGTCTATTTAATTCGTGTTTGCCGCTAACCGTAGCTACCATATTCCCCGGTTTGGGCCTCCAAATCATGACCGGCGAATAAATAAAACGAGGAAAATAGAAAAAGCAGAACCTTTTTGTTCCCGCTTTGCACCGGGTAGGGTATATTCATACTGTATTCCCGTGAGGCAAATACTAGTGGGTGCCCGTTTCAGCAGACACACATTCATGGGCACTGGCTTGTAACGTCGGCGTTGAGGTGGAAGAAAAAAGCATATATCATCGGCACAGCCGTGCGGGACAGCTCCGGACGGCGCTTGAATGCAGAGCAGACGTTAATTGGCTTTTTTGCGAGGCTTTTAACTATCTTACAGCTTCTTGACTAGTCTAGTGACCCCCGAGGTTTGTTCCTACTGTCCTTTCTCGTTACCGATCAACCAGACAAGGCTGAGAAGCTGTACTGCACATGGATTCCTCATCCCACAAACAGCCCAGAAATGCTGCATTTTGGCGTTAATTGCAACTGGCGGAGGGCGAACTTGAGCGAATGCCATCAAACATCCACCTAGTGTGGTGCTAAATAAGGGCAGCATTTTGGCTTTCTTATGTGGCCTTGGGTAATAGCATGAGCAGAGGAGGCATACGGGGCACCTGCCCCCCCCCCCCCCCCCCAGGTTCCGGGGGCCCAAAGGTCCCCCGGAAACTAATGGCGGCCGTAGACCCGAAAGTAAAATGTTAAGTAGAAATGTGGTGCCTCAAATGTAAAGGGGCCCAAGGGACCCGAAAGACATGCCGGACGTCGCATTCGGTGACCCTGGCCCGCATGCTGGGCACCCCAATGCCAGCCAGAGGGCCCTGCGCGCTGATCACGGGCCACCTGAGGGTCTACATGGGTCTACATGTTGGTCAGACACCACCAATAACACGAAGTCGCAGCCGTGGCGGCATGGGCCTGAAAGTCGATTCCCCAGACAGGAATAAAGCCTGATGCAGTGATTTACATTGGTCGGGTCCCAGCGTCTGTCAAGGCCCCACAGCCACTGGGGCCCTGAGTTGGCAAGCGGCCCCGAGTCGGTCAGAGACAGTGTTCGAGGAGGCCCAAAGATCCTAGAGGGACCACCGGGTTCGACGATCCAGTGCCCAGTTGGAATTTCTAGAGGCACGAGAGGCTGGTCGGAGTCTTAGTTAGAAGCCCGCTGTGCAAGGGTGGGCCCTCAAAGAGATTGGTCAGACAACACCAGTACCGTGCAGTCGCCTCCGTATCGGTGTGGGCCTGGGGGCCCACTTCCCAAGCAGCGACAAAGCCGGGGCCAGAGATCACTGGTCGGGGGCCTTGTATCTGTCAGGAGCCCACAGCGCCTAACAGGGGGTCCCGTGGTCGCAAGGGCCCCAGTTCGACCCAGGAACGTGTTTGATGAAGCCCAAAGAGGGGCCCGGGCGGCCCACTGGAACCGACGATAAGGTGCCCCCGGTTGGAGGATGTATGGGCCCGAATGACTGACTGTGGGTCACATAAAGAATCATGGCCCATGGTTGTGACCCGGAATGTCAGAGGTCCGACCACGAATACCGGACAGTCATCTGAGTCTGTCTGTCTGACAGTCAGTCTGAGCCCTTGAAACATCTTTTCCATGCAGGAACGAGGCCAGAGCCCGCGATTTGCAACGTTTGCAGTCCATAACACAATGAAGGGCTCCTGTGTTGGTCAGGGGCCAGCGCCTAACAGGGGTCCTGTGGCGGCAAGTGACCCCGAGTCGGAGCGGTCTCGAAGGAGACCCGAAGAGAGGTCTGAAGGTCGAAGCGAAAGGGAAGAGACCAAATATTAACGGCCCGATTGGAAGGCTAAAAGGTCCGGATCTCAATCTCAAAAGATCTCAAAAAGATCTCAAAAAGATCTCAAATGCAAGTAAGAGGACCTCTTGCACCGATATGAGCTCCCGAGGCAGGGCGTTCTCTATGTCCGCCAGAGCTCACCAACAACGAACAGTCGGTTCAGTGCTGGTCTGAACTCTGGTGGCCCATTTCCCAAGCAGGGAAGAGGCTGGGCCCGCGATTTACATTGGTCGGGGCTATTGTATCGCACAGGGGCCCACAGTGCCTAACGGGGTATTATGTGTCAACAACGGGCCTCAAATCGGTCGGGGTAAGCTTTGCTCAACGGGAACGACGACGGGAGCCCGAATGATAGAGGGCCTCTTACGTTGGTCGGGACCCTTTGGCAATGGACGGAACATGAGAGCTTATCATAAGTGCTTACATTGAAGTGATGGAAGGGGCCTGTGCCAGTCATGGTTCTCAGTACCGAACGGTGGACCCCATCCCAATATCAGCGTGGGTCCGTTCAGCCGGACTAGGCATTATTTGACCATCTGTGGCGATCAGGGATGTCGTTGCGTCAGTGAGGTTTACTGCGTCGATCCGGGGCCAACTGTTGCGTATCAGAAGGCCTCCCCGAGTCAGGAAGCGGACCAACGGGACATGATTATCCTTCTGAGGACCTCCGGATCGGCCGAGGATTCCGCCTCGTGTCGCCAGAATAACGGTCGGAAGATACACCGCAGTGGGACAGAATAGCCCTTCAATCCTTGACTGAGAACAATGTGCTCCTTAAGTGTTCTACTCAAGATGACCCCTTGCGTGGAAAGAAATAAGGGACATCATTAATGTTGAATGGAGTGAGTCGAAATGAGTCCAAAAACAAGACAGTTCCACGTTTGCCTGAAAACGTTCATTCTCCGGCATAATCGACCAGTGAAATCAATAACATCAAAATGTTTGAGCCTGCGCGCTGGGTACCGATAGGGTAGTGGTGAACCGGCCTACGTTAACCTCTGCGCGCCTGGTAAACCAGAGGTACGGGGTTCGATTCCTCGTGGTCCACGCCGTCCCTGGCAGGATGAGAGGCAGGAAACGCCATCTAGCGTTAGCAGCTGAGTCGTAAAGCCCACTGACACGTCGGCAATCTCGGGTAGCAAGGACAGCCATAGTCTGGGTCGCACTTTCCGTAAAACCGAACGGCGTTGGCAATTGCAAGCAACGCCAAACGGCGGGCGCCGTGCGCGCAACGACCATCGTAAATAACGTTTCTGAATGCCTTTTAAATTAATTCGTACAGCTAAAACGAGACTGTGTAAATCTTTTTTACAACTTGAGGATGTCCTCTGGAAATATTACAGTTACAGCAGCACGGACGGAAAAATAGAGATTCTTCCTTAACTGCATCAGTTTCATCACCACCCGATTACAGCACTACTTCGCAGTCCCGCAAAAGCCAAATATCAACAGAAATTTGCAATTTTATGTCCCTAAAGGCGTTTAATAATGGTACCCTCTTTCAAATGGGTCAGCATTTCCGTCCACCTGTCGACCATGACCTGGTGTTAACCACGAGCCGACGCTGAGCGGCCTATGGAGACTGCAATGCCTGGTGTCGATATTTTTGCGAGATATGCGAGCGTGGAAAATTGTGAGAGCAAACGATCCAGGCAAGTAATTGAGCGCGAACTGACAGAGATTCAACATTATTTCTAGAGAAGAAATCGAAAAAATCGCTGGAAGTACGAAGCTCTGACTTTAACCTGGCTTGCAATGGGAGGAATCGGACAAAAAGCTATACCAAGATGGGCAAAGAAATGATATGATATGGAAAATTCATATCACCGATATCAAAAATTGATACTATGAGCTGTATTTTCGTATTGTATCGTATTTTTTTCGTACCGTATTTTCGTATTGTACTTTTTGTAAGCCGTAATTCTGTATTGAGCGGCAAAAGTTACAATTACTTATTGTCGCACCAAATTAACGAAATTTCAACACCTCCAATGCCAAATTATGCACCGATCTGTCTAAACCAAATTATTCACCAAATCATGCACCAGCCTGTCAAACTGTCTTCCATGACGCGAAACCAAGTTACTCGGGTCTTAAGGGGACACCGTGACTTGGAAAATGAATGGTGAATTGCCAATAAAAATACCAACATGACAGAATTTGAGACAAAACTGCGTCAATTCACGATACTGATCAAATCAAACTAAGGCGCCGAAAACAAGAAAAGACGGAAGGAAACCACCAGATCGAAGGCTGCCAGACAGATATGTGATGTGGGAAAGGGCGAGGGATCTGGGAGGAAAATGGGGTGCGGGAGGGGCGGCAAGATCAGCTCAGATCAAACAACTGGCGTAGTGAGAGACGGAGTGTGGTCGGAAACCTGGTATGCATGTAATGCGACGATGTGTACGATTTGTGTGATGTGATAATGTGAAATGGTGTTGCCGTGTCCTGCGGTGTTGGCATAGGGTTATTTTTAAGAGAATGTGCAAAACGTTTGTTGTTAACACTACGAAATGGATTCAACTGAAAACCCGATCATCCATTTGCATTCACAACACCGAGTAACTGCGATCGGTTTCGGAGAGGAGACCCGACCAGCGGCGCCAGCTTTGGGCAGGGAGACCCGACCAGCGACACCAGCTTTAGGCCGGGAGACCCGACCAGCAGCGGCAGCTGACGCCCGGCGGAGTCCGTGCAGGGGGACCCGACCAGCGGCGCCAGCTGACGCACGGCGGAGTCCGTGCAGGGGGACCCGACCAACGGTGCCAGCTAATGCCCAACGGAGTTCGTGCAGGGGACCCGACCAGCGGCGGCAGCTGACGCCCGGCGAAGTCCTTGGCCATCGCCCGCGAAAGTTTTAGCAGGCTCAGTGCTCTTGACCAGACCTAAAAACTTTAAAAACCCTGGAATGGGGAGGGTGCTCACCGGGATTTGAGGTGAACCGTGTAGACTCCTACGCGACACAAACAGGTCCGTTGTTAAATTTAGGACGCCTGCTGTATACGCCCTTGGTAATAACGGTGTTTCAAGCATTCCATTCTCTCTTGCGCATGTCGACATGTCCAAGCGATACGAAACCATAAGCCTTTGCTTCTGCAATATTCCCGAAGGGTTGGTGATGATGATGATGATTTTTGGTTTGGGGCACATCGACTGCTGTAGGTCGTGCAGCGCCCACAACTGTCATGTTTGGCCGGTTACATGCAC